TAAATTTTGTATGAAAAAAATATCCCGTTGAAATCAAATTTGATGTGAATTCAGGGCCAAAGAGCAATTTGGGTTTGCAATGTTTTAGTATTGATACTAATAAAATAAGAAATATCTGGGTAAACCAAAGTGCTGATTGGAGTGATTACAACAATTAGGAAAGGCCTTAGCAATGTAGTGGAACAGAGCAAAACAATCAGACAAAGAATCATTGAAGAAGGATTCTTCAATTCAGGAGCCTGAAGAAATCCTATGCTTGGTTTTATTGGTGCTTAAAATGAATGCAAATTAATACATACGTATATCCTACTCCCCTATTCAGCTTTGACAATCTCAGCCTACATTACCCTAATGAACCTAAAGAATACCCCTTCCAAATATCAATATGAATACCAGTGTATTATTTGACTGGGTATTATAGTTTATTAATTGCATCATCTTTTTTCTGCCTTGGCCCCTCTAAACCTCTTACAGCTTTCTTGTAAATATAACCCCCCTTACCAAAGTCTTTTTTTGTTTTACTTTCACCAACCTCAGTCATTTTCCATTTCTTTGTACCTTATTTGTTCAGCATGTCAACTTCAGTTCACCAGGCACTTCACGTGTCTGGGCACCTGTGTTCAGGTGAAGCCCTGCTGAAATCACTGGGACCCTCCAAGCAAGGGATATCAGTTCCAGCATTGGGACCATAGATACCAAAGTAAATAATCACTTTATATATTTTTTTTCACTCCTCTTTTCACCTTTTGTTTTTCTTCCTCAGTACCATTCCCATGCTGAGAAGCTCAGTTGAATAACTAGAGGTATCACAGGCCATTCAAACATGGTGGTAGTTTAAGGAGCTTAGTAGAAGAATACAAAACCGCTCTACCATGTTTCCTCTCTGAAATGTATAAGCTACTTTCTTTTCCTTTGAAAAGTGTTCTAGTAATTATAGGTTTGTCCAATATTACAAGTTGTTCTGCCATATAAGTGGATATATTACTATTGCCAGTTATATTTTATAATAAGCATCTGAGAACACAATTCTGTTTTTAGATATGTATGGCAAAATACCACTTTCAAGACTATCTGTATACTGCATATTATTCTAGCTATTCATTCTGAGCTCATTGCTGTGAATGCTGAGTACCTCAGTATCTGATTCATTAGGTAGTGGAAGAACCATATATCAAATGAGAGGTTTGCTTCTGGATCTGAGAGAGATTTTGCTGTAAGCTTGCTATTGCTTTCATGTTTCATGGTCCAAGAAAATAAACAATAAATGCAATGATCAGGAGTAATGCTAAGAAAACTGCCATTTTAACTTTTTTAGTTCTTGCACCATATTGCTTTGACAGTGACTCACTCACTTAACGTCAGTGAGCTCACACAACTGTATTAGAGGGCAAAATTTGACCTTTCTACTGTAGCAGCTCTCTGACATTTCATAGGCCACGTGTGCTCCAACATGTAAGGTTAATGTTTCTTAAGACACTGTAGAACTTTCTAGTTATAAAGTTAATAACATGTCTTTGAAAAGAATATCTATCATTTCATTTTGTGTAATAGCAGGTCTAGATTGAAACCTAATGGGTAGTGTGCTTTTGAGGTAGACAGATGGACAGTCAGTAAAGAAATGTGTGTACAAATGTCATATTCAATTATATCCCTAAAGTACCCAGTTCTTCTGTCCGTATTTTGTGACATTAGACAAATAAATTGGGAGTGTGAAGCAGTCCTAAATGTAGTTGTTCACCTATAACATTGAGTTGACAGATGGTTCATTCTTTTTGGGTAAGGTGAGAGCAAAACAACTAGTTTTAGCGAAACATTCTGAGCTGTGAAGAGAGGAAAGAAAATGACACCAGCAACAGGGCTAGGAGAGGGCAAATGATGAACAGAGAGTAAAAGGATGAAATTAAATTTACAGACAACAATTTTCAATATTTACCAAGGAGCAGCATCATATGGAGTATTTGATGTGGTACAATCACCATTCAATTATTTTAAAAATTAGCAATTGTCCCTTTATTTTAAAGATACCTATTACATAAGCAGACTGGGTAGCAGTGCAGATTAATGCATACCTATGGCGTGTTGGAGGTGTCAGGGGATGATGTGTATTAATCAAGCATTACTGCACAGTAGGTCCTGTCTTATTAGCTTAATTGAAAAATGTTTTGTTCTCCCAGCTTTTCTCTTTTATGGATGCTCTGGTTTGAGCACAGCTCCTCCCATCGATGGCTGGGAGCTTAAAAAAAATAAAAATAAAACCACGCCGGGAAGATTTTGTTTCTAATGAGATGACAAAATCTTTACTCATTTCCAGTTTTTAGCACAGGATGACTCTTTAGGGTTTGCAAGACAAATAGCAGCCATATGTTCTCCTTGAGTAGGCGCTTGCGGGCGTCTGCCAACACACTCCCTCCCAGCTCGAGGACTGTTTTAGTATTTTTAAAAATGCAATGAAAAGGACAAGAAACCGGTTTGACCCAAAGCAGCCTCGCCTGGAGCCGGGATTCACCCGGCGGGGGCTGCGGAGCGCAGAGGTGCGGGGCTGTGTGTCGCTGTCCAGCCAGGGGGTGCTGAAATGTGAGCCCCGCCTTGGGCTGCAGTGGAGTCAACCTGTGCTGAAGGCAGATGGGATCCTGTAGTCTTCGGTGTCTTCCCCTACCAAGCCCGAGGGGGACTCTTCCTGACCCCGAATAAAACAGCAACAGAAACCCCCAAATAATTAGAGAGGAGTCGGGCTGGGAGGCACCTCCAGAGTCCAGCTGGTCTCTGAGGCAGGATCAGCCAAAACAGCTCATACAAACCCGTCATCTAAACTCTACCTACGTCCCTGAAGTCCCTGACGATGTGGGTTTCTTTCTCTCCGGCTGCACTCTATTCTTAGGAACTGCCCTTACCTCTTTAGTAGATATTAGCCATGTATTAAAGATCAGGCTTTTTCCTATGTGACTGAAATGCCCCCTCCACACCCTCAAACAACAGCCACGGACGCCTAGGACGCTGGGCAAACTCATTGGGATGCCACGGGCTGCGAACAGCTCTTCTTGGGAGGGAGAAAGCCTTCCAGCAGGTGCCTGGCGTCTGCTGGGTGCCCGGGACGATGTGGCACAAGCACAGGGACCCCCGGCCTGCCC